GCCACTAGATTAATGCCTATCTGTTCAACTTGACTAGATCAATGTTAGGCTTAGCCTTTGCTATCCTGAATGTACGTTTCGCCAGAACCTATCATCATACCTGCATGTGGTTGGCACTACGTCCACCCGTGGCACAGATCGCCGCACGAAAATCCCTTGTGACGATTGCATGGATGCTGATGAAACCATTGACGCTCTAGTCATGGACCGCTCTGTCTGCAAGTTTATCGATCAGTCTGCCGTCGGGCGGCTGCGTAAGCGTTGTATGGGGTAAGTCAATCCTTCCTACCTCGACTGTGTTTTCAGTCCCCCAGTCTCGCCTTGAATGAAGCCGCTTGACGGCAGGATAAGGTTGTGGCTTTCGCTTGGTGGTCCCTTACTGGTCAGAGAGAGTTACTCACTGATTGATTGCCCTTCCTTGCAGGATTGGTCACGGCGGGTATCTGTAACCTCTGCATGGCATCCTCTCTGGCAGAGTTCTTGTCAGCGTATCCTACGTGAGTATTGGTCGACTCAATATCCTGGATGGCTACTGACTGAGGTATCAGGGCGGGTGGACAATATCATTGGGTAGCAGGTAAGCTCAATTCACCTGTTTGCTTCGGGTATCCATGAGTTATGACCTCTGTTTATGATACTGATTATTCATTCTGTGCAGTCAGTAAGTACAATATACCCCTTATCTCATGAGCGTCACTAAGTGAACAAAGTTGCTCCGGCAAAATACATGCCTGTACTTTCGTGGATTACAGGATGGGCAAACGTATCTGGCTGGGTGGCTCTGGCTGCCACTGGTGGATCCTTAGGCAGTCAACTGGTCTTGGGTGTGATTTCCTTGATGCATCCGGTAAGATTCCCCTTACATCTGCTTAGATGTCAAAAGTCGACTAACTCCTTCAAGACATATGAGTCGAAAAGATGGCATCAGTTCCTCATCTACATCGCATTCTGCCTTGTTGCATTCCTGATCAATGCCTTCTTGAACTCTATCCTTCCACGGTTGACCAAGGGTGCCTGTATGTGCACAGACTATGGGTAACATGGAAAGGAATCTTGGCAAGGCTAATCTGTTGCAGTTATCTGGTCCCTAACCGGCTTCGCTGTTATTTGCATCACTGTGCTATCATGCTCATCGCCCAACTACAACTCTGGAGAGTAAGGATTTGATTACCGTCGTGTTGTACAACCACTTACTCTGATTCAGATTCGTCTTTGGTGACTTCATCAACGAGACAGGCTGTAAGTGGAGGTTCAACCTGTTCCAATCTGTTATAAGTGCTAATGGAACACAGGGCCCGATGGTCTTGCTTGGCTGCTTGGGGTATGTTGCAATCAAGACTAGGTCATATCTTGTCATTAACCGAGTAACAGCTACTTCAAGGAGGCTTTGGTCTTACTGGATTTGTATGGTTACCCTTACACGCTGCTCGATAAGCATTACTAACTTTCGAGCAGGATGGAGTTGCGCACATGATCGAAGGTATTATCACGAGCATAACACCTCACACGGCACAGGCGCTAAACATCAGCAGAGATCCCGAACCCCTCTGTAGTAGGGCCTAAGATTATGATCGGCTGCGTTGCCATTGGCACTTTCACCGGTACCATCTTCTTGATTGTACTGCTTTTCGTTGCTGGTGACATCAACAACGTCATCAGCTCGGCAGCTACCCCCCTGCTTCAGATCTTCTATGACGCGACGAGGAGCAATGCTGGATCTATCTGTCTTCTGATGTACGCGAGTTCTGCCCCGCCTGGTCACTTCTGATTGATGCTGACGGAAGTTATAGTTTTCCTTTGGTCTGTGTCCTCTTCGCCGCTGTTACCATCACGACGACAAGCAGCCGCATGGTCTATGCATTCGCAAGGTGACCACCATTTGGCCTGATATCAGCTTCTGAATATGAGCTAATGTTCACGGCAGAGACGGCGGTCTCCCAGCTTCGCCTTTCTTCAGCAAAGTTCATCCGAGACTACAACTGCCTCTGAACGCTTTGTACCTGACTAGCTTCTTCTGCGTTGTGTTCGGATGCATCTTCCTCGGTTCTTCCAGGTAAGTGAACAGCGGATCTTGATTATACAGCAAAACCCAGCCGAGGAGCCCACCGCTAATAGATGATTAGTGCATTCAATGCCATTCTTTCTTCTTCTGTGATTCTGCTCGACATTGCATATGCCATTCCCATTGCTGTGAATTGCGCTCGGGGTCGGAAGATGCTGCCTGAAAGACCTTTCGTTCTGCCCAGTATCTTTGGCTGGATTGCCAACATAGTACGTCCAATGAGGCCCGGGATAAAGAAGATGCACAGCACTAACGATATGTCTAGATCTCTTTGTGCTACATCACAATGACCACTGTTCTCTTCGTTTTCCCGCCCGATCGCATTGTGACAGGCAGCAATATGAGTAAGTTCGCTATCAACTATCACCGATCCAGAGTTGCTAACTAGAGCAGACTACTGCATTGTTGTTGTTGGAGTAGTCATGATCTTGTCGGTCTTCCAATGGATTGTTGACGGTCGTAAGAACTTCTCCGGACCGCGAATGGACGTCGATGTGATTTCGGGACAGGTTGCCGCGGGTGGTGAACCTGCTAACTACGCCGTGGAACACGGTATTCCCCATGATAAATGAAATGATTTGTGTATCTTAGAATAAAGCAAGATTTGTCTTCGAGCACAGGTGCCGAAGGACAAATCTGTCATGAGTTTACATCTCTAGAGAGTTGATTTCATAGGAATCTCCTGTATTTGTTGGGAAGCCAGAACAGGACTAGCTTGATGACATAATCCTGCATAACTTGAGGAGCTAAATTGCATAAAAGATGTCATCATTTGCATCATCTCATCAGTTGGCACATGGTTGAGGCATCTCTTCCCCACTCTCCCAACTATTGATCTTGATTTCGATTTCAAACCATCTACTAGGAATCTGATTGTGTACTGCAGCTTGGAACTGTTATGCTTGGAACTCGGCTTGAGATTAGCGCTTCGCTGTGGCGTTGATCTCTCATATTCATACTCAAAAGCATATCGCCTGATCTCAACGTTGAAGACCCACCGGACGCCAACAAAGTGATCCGCTCCCTTGACTTTCACAACTTATCGGCCTCTTTACTACTCATTGTTGTTATTGTAACCCCCACTAAACAATATGGATATGATCTCTTTCCTGCCCTCATTCGGTCGATGGAGACCGTGGGGAGATTCCAAAGTCTTCAATATCTCTCCGGTTGAAGTGCATGAGATCGACACGGCCCAAGAGAAGCCTGCCCGTGCTCTAAAGCATCTACTTAAACTGAACCACGCCAACTACGCTTTCTTGTGGAATGAACGCAAGTTTCACAACCATGCACCTCATGTTTGTCACTGTATAGCCAAGACATTAGTCCGGGATTGTACTGATTGGGACAGATCCTCAGTTCAGCCTTCCTGCAAGGCGCTGACGCAGATGATCTGAACCGTATATACGAAAACGAGTCCAAATCTCTCGATCCCTGGGAAGACTCTCCCGGCGAGATCAGTACATATGACTGGCGGGACTATCTCTCGCGCCGAGAGTAAGTAGCAAGTCAAGTGCTTGGTGAAATGGCCAATCTTGCTGACCATCTGGCCCAGATACCAACGCGCGTTTGTGGACTTCTTCGAGGATGAACTCGTCCGGCATAGCTATGACTGGAAAGAAGTCGCTTTTCAGTACCTTTTTTCAGGCAAAGAACCGATGTTCAGCTCTCTTGTTGCAGATCGTGCGTGGCAGCCTCAAACCCTATCTCTACCTCTCTAATATGGCATAGTTGGACACCCCCTTATTCACCTCGCATATGCTTTCGAGATATCCAGTCGCGAAGTAGCTATGGAGGCACTGGGTATGGCCGCTACCTGCTACGGTAGTATCCATAAATACCTCGACGACCCATCCTACTCTAAGATCGAACCCTCCTACCACACCACTTCTCTATTCGAGGTCCTTGCCAAGGTCCGAGCTGACAAGCAATTCGACAATCTCTTCACTACATCGGGCGAGGAAAACATCGAAGTTCTCTTCCGCAACCACGAAGCGGCCCTCCTCAATCACTGGAACGCATGGACGATCCAAGATCCCGTCACTCAGTTCCGCGATAGCCAGGAAGTAGCCGCGGCCCTGCTGACCGCCACAGTGACCGCCGCCCACCCCAAGTACGACTTCTTTCTCGTCCACACTCTCACGACGAGCCACGCCGTGCGAATCCTCCTCCCTCTCATCCCAGGGAAGTTCCAGATGGCTTTGGTCCGGCAGTGGTGGCTCATGACGCTGAGCGTGTACGTCGCGGGGCTCCGACCGGAGATCGATCTTGACAGAGTCAGGGGATACGAGCTCAAAGGCCGAGATTGGAAATGGACGGCACACAAGGCTGTCAAGGGGCAGTACTCGACGGATGCACACTACGTCAAGGCGATCCGGGCTTTGAGAGAAGCGGCCTATACGTGGGGGGATCCGGAGGAGTTCTACCTTCGGGCGGCTGTTCGATTTGCAGATGAGTTCGATGATTGGGCGTTTTGAGTCCGGAAAAAGGATATGGGTTCTGAGATTATCAAATTTGGTTGCGGTTTTGTTATACGGTAGTTCTGGTTCTGTGGGGGTATGACATGGTTTATTGGCTGGATGCTATTTCGTCACCTGTACCCTAGTCTAGTGTATCAGATTGGCAACTCTTTGTATTTGAGTGACAGCATCTCCAAATTGAGACATCGTGCTTGCGGCATAGGTTCGTCGATCTCTACGGAGTGCTCCGTACATACTCAGTGTCTCAATGTCATGCCTCAGGCACCAGATGAACAGAGGCATCGACCGCCTTTGAACGGCAGAATGCTCCGAACCTCGAGACGAAAACCCCGGATATAAGCGGAGATAAGAGGTAACAGCCCACGAAATCCCGTCCGCGAAACTGTTCAAAAGGCGGTGGCAGAAAGAGCCCACCTGCTGAGCACGGCAGCACCACCTAAAGCGCAGCGCGTCAACAGCTGGGCTCCCAATCACCACCAACTTCACTTATCAACCCTCTAAAAAAAACTTGTGCACAGACAGCATTAAATCATAACGTCACCACCACTATCAATCGCTCTACTAACACAAAAGCATACTAACTATAAGAGATCTCAATACAGCAAAACCGGGGAACCACACCCCCCCCTTCTTTCGGCACAAGAGAAAAGATGCAACCAACACCAGGGACAGCCGAGGACGAGGACCAGAAGAACCCTCTGATCTACCTCCATGCCGAACTCCTCCCGCACATCCGTCACATCACCCTCTATGTCTCTGTTCCTGCTGAGGACAGCGACGCCCATGCCCAATCGCAAGACACCTGTCCTAAATCAGCGAAGGAAACAAAGGGAGGAGATATGCAAATCACACTCTCCGAGTCCCGGCGCGCGGTGTCGGTGTCAGTCCCACCGGCGGTCTCGCCACAACTGCCGGAGAACCGTGGCGATGATGCTTCTCCCGAAACAAGAGCAGCGATGGACGCGGAACCCGAAACGGAAACGATGAAACTCCCCGCGCGCGTCACGGAGGCCGCACGATATGTGCTTCGCGCCCCGCAGTGGCAGCGTACTTCTTCTGAGGGGAGGAGGCGGGAGGCGTCGTTTCGGATGCAGGTTGTTGGGGAGGGTACCGGTGATCAGACAAATGGGACTGGATTGTTGGCGGGGAGGGGCGGGGATGAGGAGCTGGGGGGCGGGTTTGTGCCGTGGAGGGCGCCGGATATGCGGCCGGGGACGCGGGTCAGGTGTCGTCGGTGTGAGAGCGTGGTTCTGGATCAACCTGCGCGATCGGCGGAGGGGTGGGTGTGGAAGGACCTGCCCAGTGGGAATTGGGCGGAGATGATGGATTTTTGGCATTGTCATAAGCCGGATCCTGAGGGTGGTCATGAGCATGGAGATGGTGAGGGTGAGGGCGGGCTTGATGCCGGGGAGCAGCAACAACGGCAGCAGCAGCAGCAGCAGCAGCAGCAGGGTGCGAAAGCAGGTGGGGGAGGTCGATCGGAAGATCCGAATGCAACGGTCAAAGGGTATGGAGCTGCGAATCAGGTCGTGGCTACTGTGGGCACGATCCTGGTGGATGTCGCGGCTTTTCTGGTGGCGGTGAAGGATTGTTGGGGGGTGATGAAGGTAAGGACCTGTTCCTTTTTCTGTGGTCTTTTTGTTTTTTTTCCCGAGATGAAAAGCTTTTGCAAGGCTTGGTGTCTCCCTGAATCAGGGCAACAAGAAGGAGACCTTTCTGGCCTGTTTTCCTCCGTGGTATGGTCTCCGATACAATTGCCCGACATTAATCATGGGCCTTGATCCCTTATTATATTCAAGGTGCAAGAGAAGCAGGAAGGGGGGACAACTAATGGCTGTGCGTGGCTGGTTTTCTTACATGGTGGTGTAGTCATCCTCTTCTTTCCCTCGAGATAGGAGATGGATTTCGCAGCATCATTGTGGCATCGGCTTTGCCTAGGCATTGGTAGCTTCCTCGGAAGGCTTCGTTGTGGGATCAAGGCTGGCGCCCTCGCATAAAGTTCCTTCGTTGTCTTTTGGTCCCGAGTTCAATGGGAGTCGACGTGATCATGGCGAGGTACATTGTTGGTGCGGTGTGATATATGGAATTAGATTAGACTCATAGAACATGCAACTTGACTTCATGCTGGCGTATTGCGAAGCACTACCTTGCTATGCCTCTTCCTTTCCTCTCTACTTGCCATCTTATCATTATCTCCTGCTGATAGCTCGAATAAAAACCTCTTTAGGACCCGGACTCCGATGATATCCGCTGCTGCAATTGTAATACATTACTCGGCCAGGTCGATCCTACAGCCCAAGGCTGGAGACTCTTCAAGACCGCTATCTCCGCAACAAAGACGAAAACTGATACTGGTACCGAGCAAATGGAGTGGGAATCCTACTCCATCGAGGTCATCATCGCCGCCCAACTCCTGGAGCTAGTCGAACGAGAAAGCGCTCGTCGCTTCGTCGTGCACTGCGGACATAGCAGTGGATTGTTGGTACGTTTCTCCCAGTCTCCCAGTCTCCCAGTCTCCCAGTCTCCCAGTCTCCCAGTCTCCCAGTCTCCCAGTCTCCCACAGGAAGTCACCCTTGTTCGCTCGACCATATGCTAAACTCCTCCGGCAAATAAACCAGATCTGGGTCTTCAACCCCGACATGCGGTATTCCAACTCGAGCGCCCACCACAGCATCGCCGCCCAACGAGCGATGAAGGTCTTCTTCCAGCCTCTCCACAATGTGGAGCAGACGCTGCACCCGGAGGTCGGCAAGCCGTCGACCACGCTGGCGTTGGAGGAGGTGCGGCTGCCGGAGGAGACGTATCAGACTTTCGAGGAGGTGCTGCACCGGAGGAATGCGATGCTGCCCGTGTCGGCGAGGGTGTTTAGGGAGTGGAGGGTAGGGATTTTGCATCGGTTGCAGTGATGTTGAGGGTTTATGTCCTTGTTGGAAGGGAGGAAGGTGTGGATTTTGTATATTGTGGATGGCTGCTGAGGTTAGTTAGGGGATGTTACGATCCCGTTCTCATATTTGCTGGTTGCATTTAGATACGATATTGGTGTTTGGTGACTGGTATGGATACAATAGGACCCAGGAAACCTCGTGTACTCTGGGCGTCCTGGCTGATGTCTTGACTGGTTGAGGAGACCTTGAGCAGGCTTTCACTTGGAAGGCTATTCGCAGGCCATAATAGAATTAAGTCTTAAAGATGCACAAGCTACCGGTCGAAGGATACTTTACTTAGTGACAAAGCTGTAGTGGAGCAGTAGTATAAGAAAATCTACTTTGTGTTGTGGAGAAAATCTGGTCGAATAATGTCAAATTTTATATTTCAAAAGGGCACGGCTTCTAGAAATAACATATAACAATCCGCAGGGTAATCTGTTATATTTGCTTTAATAAAGTCAATATCATGTATAATAGAAGAGGAGCACACGCCACCATATTAATCCTATTGTCAGACTGCTAACTTATACATAGTCGATGATTGACCCAAATAGGCTATCAATAACTAGCGGCTGATCGTGTGAATAGTGAATAGCGCAATTGATGCCTCGGGCCGTCCAAGGCTATCCGCTGGAACGATCGGCTTGCCATCCCCCCTGTTTCGAATCTCCCTCACACTCACACACACTCTCTCCGAACTTCTTTTTTCCAATGTCATAGGTTCTGTCTTTCCTGACTTCTTCAAACCCTCCACTGGCCCAGAGACTTAAGGCCAGCTGAGATCTGTCGTCCATCCCCCGATCGCAACGAATGCCGATCCACCTTCGCCGATAGCGATCCTCCGATCTTATCAGCCTCCTAGCTACCCTAGCCATCTGTCCTGTCCTACGTGCCTCGCACCAACGCATGTGTCTTTCCCACGCCTACTGATTCACCCTTGAATCTCGCGCCCTCCCACCATGGGGACATACGCCGATGATGGTAACACGGAGTTCCTGCCCATGAGCCGCTCGAGGACCGCCTCTCAGTCATCCTCCGATTCGGACCTCTCCGTCGACACCCCGTTCCCCGACGAATCCAAATTCACAACCACCCACCTGAACAATCCCTTAAAGTCCAGCTCAGCCGAAGATGCGAGATATCGAGACGTCGAGGAAGGCGAACCGCAGCCCGATGAGCCATTCCTACCCTCGTCGCAAAAGAAATCGGCTGCATCGACCGGACGCCGGACCTCGCGTATAATCTGGGCACTGGTCATACTGTGTGTGGCAGGTTGGCTCTGGGGGTTGGCGCTGTTCGTGGCGCAGAAGCGGTCCGGCGACCTCGCTGTCTCCGAAGCGCTGCAGTCGCATGATTCCAGCCCCTTTTCGGACAGCACGAGTTCCGGAAAGCCTGTCACGCTGGAGCAGGTGCTCAGAGGTCAATGGCAGCCCATGTCGCACGCCATCTCATGGATCGCGGGGCCCGACGGTGAAGACGGCTTGCTGGTGGAGCGAGGAGAAGGCGAGGGCAAAGCCTACCTGCGCGTGGAAGATATCCGCAGCCGCAAGAAGGATGCCCAGAGCCAGGAAAGTCGGGTGCTGATGGAAAAGCCCACGGTGCATGTGGATGAGCGCGATATTTTCCCGGCCATGACATGGCCCAGCCCCGATCTCAAGAAGGTCCTGCTCTTGTCGGACCGTGAGAAGAATTGGAGACATTCGTACACGGGCAACTACTGGATCTTCGACGTCGACACCCAAACGGCGCAGGCGCTGGATCCCAGCGAACCCGATGGACGGGTCCAGCTCGCGGTCTGGTCGCCTGCTTCTGATGCTGTCGTCTTCGCTAGGGGGAACAACCTATATCTGCGGAAGTTGTCGTCAGATAAGGTGGTCCAGATCACGAAGGATGGCGGTGCGGACCTTTTCTACGGTGTGCCTGATTGGGTTTACGAAGAGGAGGTCATCTCCGGCAACAGTGTAACGTGGTGGTCTAGCGGCGGCGAGTACCTCGCTTTCCTTCGCACCAACGAATCCTCCGTGCCTGAATTCCCAGTCCAGTATCACCTCTCGAGACCCTCTGGAAAAGAGCCGCTCCCGGGACTCGAAAATTATCCGGAAGTGAGAGAGATCAAGTATCCCAAGCCCGGCGCCCCCAACCCTGTTGTCAACTTGCAATTTTACGACGTCGAGAAACAACAAGTATTCACAGTTGAAATCCCCGGCGACTTTAGTGATGAGGATCGCATTATCATTGAGGTGGTCTGGGCAGGTGCAGACAAGGTCATTGTGCGCACCACAAACAGAGAGAGTGACGTTCTCAAAGTCTTCCTAGTAGACACCAAATCCCGCAGTGGTAAGCTTGTTCGAACTGAAGACGTTGCAAGCATCGACGGCGGCTGGGTGGAGCCATCCCAGTATACCAGGTTCATTCCCGCTGATCCAAGCAATGGCCGGCCACACGATGGCTACCTCGACACTGTGATTCACAACGGCTACGACCATCTCGCATACTTCGCGCCCCTCGATAACTCCGAGCCAGTCATGCTCACCACAGGTGAATGGGAAGTGGTCGAAGCTCCTGCCGCCGTTGATCCCCACCGAGGCGTCGTCTATTTCATTGCAACAAAAGAAGCTCCCACCCAGCGCCACCTGTATCAAGTGAACTTTGATGGATCCAACCTCAAGGCTCTTACAGATACCTCCAAACCAGGCTACTACGACGTTTCCTTCTCCCAGGGTACCGGATACGCACTGCTCAGTTACAAGGGCCCCTCCATCCCATGGCAGGCAATTGTCAATACCGAGACAGACGAGATCATCCTCGAAGAAACCATCGAGGACAACGCCGGCCTGGCTCGTATGGTCGAGACATACGCCATCCCGACGGAGATCTACCAAAATGTCACCATTGACGGCTTCACGCTCCAGGTCGTCGAACGTCGCCCCCCTCACTTTAACCCGGCCAAGAAATACCCCGTTCTCTTCTATCTCTACGGCGGGCCCGGCTCACAAACAGTCGATCGTAAATTTACCGTCGATTTCCAGGCATACATCGCCTCCAGTCTGGGTTACATAGTCGTCACTGTTGACGGCCGAGGCACGGGCTACATCGGCCGCAAAGCACGATGCATCGTCCGCGGCAACTTAGGCTACTATGAGGCTCACGATCAAATTGCCACTGCCAAGATGTGGGCCCAGAAGACTTATGTTGATGCGACCCGAATGGCAATCTGGGGTTGGAGCTATGGCGGATTCATGACCTTGAAGACCCTCGAGCAAGACGCAGGACAAACATTCCAATACGGAATGGCTGTTGCACCTGTGACCGATTGGAGATTCTACGGTACGTGTCCGAGCCCCAAAGACAAGGTTGACCCTCACATTGACAATGTATCAAATAGATTCTATCTACACTGAACGCTACATGCACACTCCCGAACACAATCCCACGGGATTCGACAATGCCTCTATTTCCGACATGTCTGCGCTCCAGGAAACCGTGCGATTCCTGGTCATGCACGGCTCCTCAGACGACAACGTTCATCTTCAGAATACTCTTGTGTTGGTTGATAAGCTGGACTTGGCTAGTGTTGAGAATTACGATCTGCATGTGTACCCGGATTCGGATCACAACATTGCGTTCCACAATGCGCACACCATGGTCTACGAGCGTAAGTCAACTTCCTTCCTTGCGTCTGCGTACCTCCGGGAGGAGATAATAATTCGTCAATTAGGTCTCTCGAGCTGGCTCATCAATGCATTCAATGACGAGTGGCATCGCATCGATCACCCAGTTCCTGATGAGTCGATGTGGAGTAGGGTCAAGCGCTCGTTGCCCATCTTGGCACATTAGCTAGATTACGAGGCTCTCTGTCGGACTGGCGTTCTTTGGTTCATATGATGAGAATTTTATCAAATCTCGTTTTCTTTCTTTGTATATACGTACCGGAATAAATGGGTTCCCTCCAAGCTTCTTTCGTCCGCCGGCGAGACACCCCCTCTTGTGTGGTCACGATCCTTCCGCCATGCTCACTCTAGCAATCACCCGAGGAGGAAAATTCCCTAGAGAAAGAAAAAGCCCACTTTCGGTTCCGGGCCGTCTGCGCTCTAGCGGGATTACCGCCACGGCAGTCAGTCCGGTCCGGTGCCCACCGAGGCCGGAGTGGGACGAGAGACGGGATCGGAGGAGACAAGTTGACCAGTATCGGCATGCCAAGCATGACAGGTGAGGATCCATCCCCTCTGAGATCCAAGATCCCGCCGGAGGTCACGATAGTTTCGATAGAGTGTTGCCTTCGACTGCTAGGATTGGAGGAGAACGCCCCATGCAAGGGCCACACCACCTGCGTGCCGCGCTGCATACGTCGCTTATCATTGCCGGGTGCGATCTTAGCATCTTTGAGGGGAAACTGGAGGTCATTCGGGTGAGATCTTCTACTAAGTATGGGTACTTCGTGTGTTTCGAGATCTATCCACCCGGATATAACATCCAGTCTATCGTGAATGGCCCGAAGTGAGCAGATGGGGCCCACGCTGACGAGACTGAGATCTGGAGGAAGGGCGACGATGAGTCAGGGTAGTTGCATGAACTTCGTAGAAGGAGAAATGAGAAACTTGGAAGTAGTGAGTTGGAAAGGACTGCCTCAGGCTGCAGACCTCCCTGTCAGGCGCCTTCCCTTACTGAACTAGTCCCCAACCTCAGGAGGTATAGAAAATCCCACGGTATCAACCGTACAACTCCTTTACTGAGCATTCTCACTCACACGCACACACATTCTATCTTCTTCGAACTTGCCACTGGTCTCCCTCAAGGCGCTTGCGTTATATGCTTTTCGATCCTTCACTATCGTACACCGAGAAAAAGAAATACCCTTCCCCATCGCCGCCGACTGCTGTCGAGGGATGGATGCCCGAGAAACACCTTCTCTTTGCTGAGGAGCGCTCAGTCTCCCCTCAGCTGATAGCGCGCGCCTCATCCACCCGCCCCCAACCGGTGTCACGGGCCCATCAATTCCCATTTTCCAATTCAGAAAGTTGAAAACCAGAAGAGACAAGACATGAGAGTTCCCGGAGATCAAGCACGTCGTGATATTTCCCTCCCCCCCCCCCCCCTCCTCGGAAGCGGGTGGCCTCTCTTCTTCTCTCTCTTCTGTTATCCCCGGAAGGTAGAACAAAACGAAAATTCCCGCCAAGAAATGGTATTGAGATCTGAGTGTCAGAAATTGTTCACTGATCTTCGTCCTCATTAGCAGGAAGTTTAATTTTCACAGTTCTCAGGAGGACGCCTCACACTTTGTTCAAATCAGCCGACGGGAGTTCCGCAGATGTGGCAGTTCTTGCCAGGGATGACCCAGACTTCTTTGCCCTGCTTGGCGCAGGTCGGGCAACGCGCTCCTGGCATCTGTTTTGAGGGGAATTGGTGTCAGAGATCATGATGCACGAATCATAATCATAAGGCTTTTCTCGGAAAAACTCACAGTCATTGTGATTGATGTGTTGATAGGTCGAGTTTGCGACAGGCGCGTGACGATGAGAAGATGGTGACTGGAAAAAATATGGTCTCAGGTTTGAGGGCTTAGATGGAAGATACTGAAGGTGAGCTTTCACTGAACAATTGGGTAAGAAAGTGTGCGTGCTTTGCTTGGATAAGTATGTGGTTTGACTGATGAGTATACAGCCCGATGGTAGGTGCCCTGCTGCTCTTTATATACCTCGTTATGGGATGGGCTTATTGGCTTTCTCAAACATCCGTTAGACCAGGAGACACTCTGTGTATCCATCGGGAGATCATCACTCTAGCCCGGACCTGTCGATTGGAGACACGACTAAAATTAAAAATTATGCATCCAAGGTACCAATCTACATGGACCCTGGTGGGCAACAAACATGTCATGTCGGCCGCATTGATTATCCAAGTTACTCGGATCTTCCCGTTCATGTCTTGCATTGCTCGACCCGGCCAATGAGAAAATCATTTCAAAGCGATTTCAGCTGGGAACTTGCGATGCGTGATAGATACATGTTCAGCTATCCCTGATGTGACTAGTGATTATGAGAAGCGCTGGGCAATCAAAAGTTGAAAACAAAAAAGCCAAATCGAAAAATCTCCAGGGAGAGGAAAAAGAAAAGCGCCACCTGTGAAACGCGAAATGGGAACCGTTAATTCATCCAGATAGTGGAAACTCGGTATTCGGTATTCTCCACTCGGACTTGCGACTTGCACTTGTGACTGGTGCGTGACTGGTGCAAATACATTGATATCCCGCTCAACAAATCTATACATAGCTATCAGAACCCAGCGATACTGGGTGTTTGCAATCCAGAATGAGCTTCAGATGCTTGACCGCCTATGACTGACAGTGTATAGGTCACACTTCATCTAATTCGATGTTCGGAGCTAGCGAGTTGAGAGACTTGGCGCCGATTGCGATGAATTGATGGCACAGCTGGGCAGCAGTTTTGTACTGTACTCCAATGGATGTCCGAGTATCACCAACCGTAACTGACGTGCTCAAAGTCCTTCCTGAAACGTCTAATGAACAATCGCTCCTCCGCAACGGCCACACTCACACTGCCCAAATCTGATTGATACTCTCGATGCGCTGCTGAACGGTGAGCGGCAGAAAGCGTCGTGGCTGAAAACCTCATCAAGCTAGGTCAGATTTACCGGGTTTGTCAGGCAAGACATGGGGTTTGCGACACCTGGTCCCACAATGGAGGGCCTGGCTTCGCTAACTGCGCCTAACCCAAGGAATGCCGAGTAGGATGAAGTTCGGTGCTTCACATTGAGCTATCTCTCCTCTGTGCCTGGATAGCGCATTCGACAAGTGATGTTACCAGAGTCAGCTATTATTGCTGTTTGCTTGCTCATTGTCTTTGTCGTCATTCAGCCCCTGCGATTTGTTACTGCAAACCAGAATTAATCGACGGGATCGCGGGTAGATGGGCCAATGATCGAAACGGATCAGCTACATTAGACAACCAGTTTCTTGGGACGAGAGGGAAACCTGGATATTGCTCAGTTCTATACACTATCATGGCAGTAAGAGCGCATAGGGGTGCATCTCCAAAGGCCCGCCCTCCTTTGTTGTTGTTGGCGGTCTCAACGCTCGTCTATCATTTTCTTTGTTTGATGTCCCCACTCGGGCTTTCTCCTATCTCCCTTTATTTATTAACCATTTTTGTTCTTCTATTTCTTCTTTCTTGTTTTGCCTTCTTGGCTACCCAGTCCGATCCTGTTTCCAATTGCGACCGAGAGATATTGGTATGGAGTGAAGGAGCCCGAGAAGACCGATCTTATGCCATCCATGTCTTGCATCCCGCCGACGATGCTTCGCTGGTGGAGCGTTGACAAGTGAAAGTGAACCTTATCGCAGCCGGGGAATCTCGCATTCTCGCACTCCACAGCAGGTTCTGATCGGTCTCTCTCTCTTAAATCTCAGCCATTGGTCTCAAAAAGCTGCGTGACCGGTGCTACGCAGCTCCGGTGTTACTAGTACCACTTATCTGGCGCAGCACCTTCGATTGCAATCGGATACATAAACTGTGGGGCCGTTGAACTTATTCGCTTGCCCCATCGGATGACAGGAGATCGTCGATCGAGGATGTTTGTTGTGCCTTAATCCTGTTTTTTTTTTCTCACCCTTACGCGAACGGCACAGGCAGCTAGACAGTTCACAAAGGGCGCTGGAGATTGAGTCTTTCAAGCAGTCCAGTTGCTTGATTGAATTGGTCGACTCCCGCAACTAGTGCAGAGTTGCCTGTCACACTAAGTCGGCAAACCCCAATTCCAGTCCCCTCAACCCCAAAAGCGGCACTTCTGATATTGGTCAAATCTGACCTGTCACTTTTTGTTTTATGTTGTTCTCTTTCTCTCCGCACACCCCTCTCGGTTTTTTCCCAACTCTCCAGTCAGAGACTGAGAACGGGTTGCTTTTGCTCCCCTTCCCAGAAGGATTGTCCACTCTTGCCTCAATCAATCTTACCCCTCCTAATCTTTCTTGCTCGAGGTCTATCGCTCCTCTTTTTGAGTTCCCTCGTATTTGATCGCGCACGCAAAGTTTCATCATCTACACCCCCCCGTTGACCCCTCCCCCTCTCTCTCCCCCGCGCAAACGGAGGGAAAATGGACTAAGTTTGCTGTGATTTCTCAATCTTCCATCAACCAGCACATCTCGATCACCTCTTCACGATTCAAACACAGTAGTGCGGAAGCAGCGACAACTGCAGCCAATCCGAGGCTGGCATTCCACACCTTGGAGGGGCGCCACACCGCAAGTTTAACCATGAAAGACACTGCATTTAACCTTCCGTACTCGATGCAGAATCTCCCCAAGTGCCCGCAGCTCTGGTCATTCTTCACTCTGTGAATCACGGTTGAGCCCCGGAAGGGGGTTTGGTGGGGAGTTTTCTTTTCTTTTCTTTTTTCTTTCGTTGGCGGCACTTTATGATTGATGGACAGTGTATCTTGCATATGCCTGCAAGCGCTTGACGTTCTCAATATGCATGCCAATTTACATCATCAAGAGCCGTCTACTTGTGTTGTCCCAGATCAGAGAACAGCTCACCTCATCCGTCCCCTTCCTGTGGGGAACGGCTGCCATGCGCATTTACACTGCAGTTGTCACTTCTTTGTTTGGCATCTGACACTTCAGGCATGATCATGTAGGGATTGGTCAAGAGGTGGGATACAGATCACAGTAGAGCCTACCAGCAGCTTGCTCTCCGAGTCATTGCGCTTTCTGGGCATGTCGCACCGCGAGGCACAACTTGTTTGACCCCTACACAAGGAACCTGACTGGATAATCTTCGGCATGTGGCTTGCGCCCAATGGCCAGATGTGCGGTTATAGTACCCTACTTTCTCGGTGTATCTCGGGAGAAAACGCCATCTGGAAGGCTGTATACCTAGCTTATCGTCTATTGGCAGGGGTTGATCACCGCACTATCATCGCTGATGCGCCACCCCGAACAATTCCTTTGTAGCCCCAATGTTACCATGCCTGCAGTCGCTACTAGTGATAGTGATTAGGTATAACCCCGGCCGCAAGCGCATGGTCAGCAAAGCAGCACTGGCGTAGCCCCTGTCACCTTCAACACATCACAGAAAGAGAGTTACCCCCGTTGTGCATCTCCTTCTAGCCGCGTGCATCTTCGATATGCTCATCGGAGACCCTCGACGTGATGCTCTCATGGCCCTTTTCTTTGCCGGGCTGGACAACCTGGCTCACCTGGGAGACGACGACGTGCGATGGCGCGGTCCGGTGTCTCTTCCTCTCCTTCACAAGCTCCTTGGACGCTTGCACCGCGCTCTTGTCCGGATTGGTGAACAAGTAATCTATTTCTTCAAGGGTAAAGTTGGCTGTCTCGGGATAGCAGAAGTAGATCAGCGGGACAAAGGCCAAGTTCGTACACATGAAGATGAGGTAGGCTTTCCACTGCAGGCGATTGATGATGATCGGCGTAATCATGACGACGAAGAAGTTCTTTCATCCAGCACCACCATCAGTATGGATTTCGGGGGCCCGCACCGTGGGTTGCTAATTTGGAGAAAAATGTGACTTACCCAAATCCAGTTGGACGAGATCCCGATAGCCGTGCCCTTCGCGCGCGCATGCAGAGGCAAGATCTCCGGGACATAGCACCATGGGATGCAGTTGACGGAGGCACCGAAGATGAGCATGTAGAGGAAGAAGAAAGCCACCGCCGCGGACGAGGTCGCGTGCTCGTTGGCGTGGCCTTTGAAGCTGAGCAGGACGGACACCATCATCATGCAAATCCCCAGGCCGAATGAGCCCCAAATCATGGGCGCTCGGCGACCGACCCGGTCGACGAAGAAGGTCGGGAATATACTGCCCACCACGAACATGATCTGGACACAGCCTCCCAGGATCATGGAGAGGTTCTTGCTGAGGCCGACGTTGCTGTTCAGCACGGTGGGGATGAAATAGCTGAGGACTTTTGTTAGCCTGGGAAATCTGCGAACTCGAGACCTGGGGATGTGTGGATTAGATCATACACGACGAGATTGATGCCGCCGACTTGGTTCATGAATTGCATCCCGTAGGCAAGAAGACTTGTGACCGGCGGATTAGATGACACATCGGTAATTTTGAAGGAGATCAGACTTACACTCGATGGCCTGTTGAGACCTTGTCATGCTTGAGGATGTTTCTGTAAGGGTTAGCAGGGTGCCGCCCCCGCCCCGAATTGTGTCTACGAGAACATACCTCCACTGGAACTCCCCATGCTGCGTCTCCACAGCAAGGGCTTCCAGAATCTCCGCCTGCTCAGCAAGGATCTTCGGGTCATCTTTCGGACGACCGTAAACATCACTGAGGATTTGCAGTGCTTCGTCGCGACGACCTTCCTTGTAGCAGTATCTCGGAGACTCGGGCAACCCGAACACGAGGATTACCACCACCTTATCCGAGTGTCAGTCTTGCGTCTCGGTCCCTGAATGAGAACAGGATCACTCACAAACGCAAAGAGCATCTGGCATGCAATAGGAAGTCTCCAAGCGACTTGACCGCCGACGAATCCCATACCATAGTCGAAGAAGTAACTGCATGTAGCCTTAGCATGAAGAAAGGATAGCCTGCAATGGCCCCCGGTCAAAGCGACTTGACTTACCTGATGACAATTCCCACACCCACTAAGAGGGGTTCGCTGCAGACAAGCCGTCCGCGCTTGTTGGCCTCACATAGTTCTGCCTGGTACATGGGCACTGTGGATGTCTCGATCCCAGTGCCAATGCCCGTGACAAAGCGACCGATCATCAGATGCGGTACTGAGAAGGCGGAGCATTGCAGAGTAGCTCCAATCTGTCGGGAGGTTAATCGACCATCATCATCTTCATCAGCTCATGAGCGATTCCCGCCCCATGGATGAAGGAGACACTCTGAGACCCGAACGAGAGCCTACTTACTATGACCCAGACCATAGCAAACCACATTGCTCTGCGTCTTCCCAGCCGTTCTGCCAGCATGAAGTTGACGAGACAGCCGGCAAAGCAGCCCAGGTTGTAAATGGAGACAATGATGCCTGTGAGGCTGTCATTGGGATGATTCATGGTGTCGAGGAAGTCATCATTCTCCACGATCCCGGAGAAGACACCCTGATCGTAACCTGGAGGAGAAGATAGGTGAGTTAGAAGTCCGGCTAAGCTGCTGCTGTTGAAACTGACGAGTCTCTTGACTTACCGAAGAGGATGAAGGCCATTCCACAGGCTGCCCAGATGGCGGCTTGCAGGGTGAAGCCTGTCCCAAACATATTGATCTGCACCATTTTGCTCCTGTATTGCTTGCAATTATATGTAAATGTTCACAAGACATCGCGTCTGATCGCGTGTGAGGTGAGTGGCTGAATGCAAGGTATATATGTACTAGCCGCCATGGAAGGGAACACCCAGTGGCGTTTTGCTACCAGCCATTTGGACCAGCATGTTAGGCGATTAACCTAGCAAGAGACCGATACATCCCGCTCTATGGAGAGCAATTAATCTCGTCATCGATGGCTGGTAAGTCGGACGAGAGATGCCGAGAAGACGGAAGTAACATCGATCATCCATGATGATTCGAGCCGAGACAGAAGAGTCGGTCACGGGATGTCCCGATCGGGCAAGGGGAGGCTACGGCAACCGAATGTTACCCCGGAGTGCTGCTTCAACCCCGCAATAGGACTAAACTCATCCCACAACTGCCCATGGGGGATCTGCGCTTTGGCTGACATTCCTGTCCATGTTACCTTGCGAAAGCCCAGTTCTGATGAGAAGAACGGAAACAATTGGTGAATGTCTGAAAATCTGGGGAAAGCGAAAGCCACAAACAGCAGGTTTCCACTTCCATACCCCGCGCTGTCGATCGCACTAGAGCCGAGGTGGCCCTTTCGAGATCGGTTGTCTACCAAGGAACTTGGAAGAGAACGAACCCCTCCCAGGTTGCGTCGCAGTCTGTCTCCAGCTCAGCAGAAGCAGCAGCAGCAGCAGCAGCAGCCTTCTCGTCTCCTGTTACATCCCTTATCGCTTGTCTAGCATGATCTAGATTGGAAAATCGGCTCCGAACCAAGGAAACCAAGGAAAGGATGGACAAGCGACCCATGCCGGTCGACCAAGCCGTTGAGCCCACCCCAAAGCGGCAGCGTCTCGATGATGCTCAGCATAAGCAATCTCAGCCGCCAGAGATAGAGATCGGTCTCGGCCCCTTGATAGCCCACAATCTCACCGATCGTCCATGCAACCTTGACGGCGCCAATCTGCACAGTTCTTCCAATTCGGGTGGTGATTGCGGCTCATTCCAATCGCCGGCGGCTGGCAGCTGGACGCAAGATGGCTTCTCACAAGACCCGGACTTTCTGGCGTCCCAGGAAGAACTGCGATGTTTCCTTTTTTCCCTGGCCAATTCGGCGGTTCCGACCCGGGCATCTAGCCCAGACGCGGCCGGAAGTGGGGACCACCTGGAACAATTGTCCCAACCCCTACCCAAGGACAGTAGGGATTCATGGCATGCTCCATTGTCTGAGGGAAGGCATATACAGTACCTCAAGAATTATGTTACTGAAGTGGCGCCATGGGTATGTCGATCTTCTTTTTGCCCTTTGATCACGCGCACTAGCTTAGCTCAGAGCTGGCCATGCTGATAACGTATTGATCAAATCTGTAGCTGGACATGTTCGACTCACAATGCACCTTCCGTTATCAGATCCCTGCTCTTGCCCAAGAATTCCCGGCTCTTTCTTATGCCATACTTGCTCTCTCAGCAAGGCAGATCGAACGTAAGAATGGCGTTCGGAATTGGTATGATAGTCTTGAACTGTACCAGGAGGCGATTCGGCGGTTGAGTCCACTTCTCCAGGTGCGCGACACGAAGGTTGTCGCAGCTTGCGTGCTTCTTTGCTGCTTGGAGATGATGTCGGCTCGGGCACAAGATTGGCGCCGTCACCTGGAGGGATGCGCCGCGTTATTCAGTGCGTTTGGTATCCACGGCTTCAGCCAGGGAGTTTTACAGGCGGTTTTCTGGTGTTATGCGAGGATGGGTGAGTCTCTCTATCTATTGCGACTGGAGCTCTCCGTGGTAGAGCAGCCATACTCCGCCGAAAGAAAACTTTCTAATGACTTGTGTCAGACCTCTGCGGTGCACTCATTTCTGATGGCACGCAAACTACACTCCTACATCCTTGCAAGTGGTCGCCTCCAGGCTGTCAAGACGAGGATGCATATCGACTTTTCCAGAGTGTCAAATCCCCGGACATGCACGCGAATTACGCAGTCTATCTGTGTATGAAGGCGACACAACTTGTTTCGGATCGCACAAAATTCGTCGAGTTGGGCGAAGACAATGGCTGTACTACCGAAGAGTTCCAGACCCGTTGGCTTCTGCTCTGGAACGGCCTCCAGTGCTGGCTGTCGGAGCGGCCAGACGAGTTGCTTCCAGTTCAAACTGTCAGCCGCAAGCCTTTCCCTCATATCTTGTTTGTCCACTGGGCTGCAATATCATCAAATCAACTTTATCACACTGCATGTATATTGCTGTTGAAAGTGCTGCCGAAGGGTGTACGGCTGCCGCGATCACCGGCCCTCTTTCCGCTATGGCATGCACGCCGAATCTGTGGTATCTCGCTGGCCAATCCACATCAAGGATGTCTGAACAATTCAATCCAGCCATTGTGGATTGCAGGTCAGCTCTTCAGTCACAGATCGGAACACAAAGAGATCATCAATCTGATCCGAGGTATCGAGGCTGAAACTGGCTGGGGAACATGTTGGCGGATCCGCGATTTGGAATCTGCTTGGGGCTGCCGATAACGTTTGCATGATGGAGCACCATGTCTATGATATCTTGCCAGGTACATCACACTACAGGCGAAGCACGTCAGACGCCATCCAGAAACGACCAGTCCTGCTGAAGATCGCTCAGATACTGGCCTATATGCCACCCAGTGATTGAGTAGATTCGCTCAAAGCCCTGCAGAATTGCATTCTGCTGGGATTCGTGTGTCATAGTCCGCGCAGAAACGAGGAAGGAGGCGACCAGACAAGGATCCCAGCAGTCACGGCAGTCATTGTTTAGTGCAATGCCGCAAATTCGCTGAGAATGCCAGAGAGGAGAGAGATATCGAGCCTGTGGGTTGAGGAGCGCGGTGCGTGGCTTGCATTGCAGAAGCAAGAGCGCAGCGGTGTGATAGAGCTGATTGCAGTATGCACCCACTCCATTAGCAAAGACTACTAGAGGAAACCCGCTTCCTGTATTTGAGATATTGTCATCGCCCTCTAGCTCAACCAATGGGCGAAACTCTTGTGGCCGTGAAGCATACCACCGGTCGAGTTCATCGAACGCTTGGAGCCAACTGTCCAGGATCTGATGGCAACCAGGAAAGTTGCGTGGGTTGTGTTGTTCATGGCATACCATCAATGCTTTCCCAAAGAGCCAAAGAAGGACACGTGCATAAAGCGAGACTCTTTCATGAATATCATGGGTACGCGACAGTAGTTCCAGGTTTGGCACAGGGCCGGAGGGAATTGGGATCCGAAGGGCCGTGTCATTCGCGAGCGCTACACTCAAGTCTATCTAGTATTAGCAAAATCATCCTTTGAGGGAACTTAGCACATCGGACAAACCTAGTCTGAGAAACATCCAATAGATAGATGATTCGATGTTCAAGAGCAAAGAATGTTCAAGCAGAGGCTCTAGCAAGCAGAGGTTGTCATTCTGCAAAGTGCTCCAGCCGTGAGAAAGGTCGGACACTAAGAAATGCAACCTCTGTAGAATTGATAAAAGTGCCGTCTCCGTGAGTTCAGAAGCAAGCCCAGACCCAAGGTGTATAGGTCTGAGTAAAGGTCTTCCACGACTGAGTGCATTAGGCTGTTGGTGATTCTGGTGAAGGATAGATGCTTCCGATAGCGTCAGCAACGTCGACAAGATCTGCTTAGAGCGTGTCGCCATTTGAGTGACTATGATCCCAAAAGGATGTTTCAGGTCGCAGATATCTAGCTGTGACATCTCAGGAGTTAGCCACGGAATTGCCTCTGCCTTCACCGACCGATAGCAGCAAATAGGTATATTTACCCAGGGAGCGACAAAATACCGATAATGACGCAAAAGTTCCAACTTCCGCTCCTCATCATCCATGATTGAAGGCGATGAACCCAGCTCAATCATCTGCGACATTCCAACAGCGACAGAGTCCTCGCGCCGTCGTGCCAGAGTGCCAGTGTCTGCTTGGTTGGCTGAAGTGGCCGTCATGATGGGTGAAGAGCCCGCGATCGGCTCCGGTGTCTCGAGGTAGGAGATATCATGAACCAGCGCAAGCTGATCAGTGGCGTTTATACTCGAGCCCAGCGCAAGAAGCCCCTGAACAGCCGACGTATCCCTGTCACTAAAGAAGCCGTGGCCGCTCCCGAGCAATACCTCGTCTTCAATCAAGGGCCCATCTTCATGACGTTGACGGTCATCACCGACGCGATCTGCTGGACCCTCTACCCGTAGAGGACTTGCATCTTCTCCACCCAAGCCGGACTGGACGTCCCCTCCCTCTTGCTTTTCCTTAGCTCGCTCATGACGAGAACCCACCGACCGGGTACCAAAGGAAGAAGAAGAATCCAACTCCAATTCCTCTTCCTCCTCACCAACAGTATTGCCATCTACCCCATTCAAGGCCAGAGGATCCTCTTCAATGAACTAGAAACATGAGTATTAGTAAACACACACGAGTCTTTATTGGAGATTCCCAACAGAAACCAAAACCACATCCCATTCAACAAGAACCGGGATGAAAGAAAGCCCCTCAACCATAAAACGCCCAAGAAACCAAAATCAAAACGCACCCGCAAAGTCTGAAACCGTCTCTTCGTCGACCTCGGAGTCCGGAGTTCTTTCGCAGGCACCGTGTACGTATTCTTCGAGAGAAAAGTGACTTGCATCCCATAGCTGCAAACGAAATTCTTGTCCACGCAGTTCTGGCAGCGGGGTTTGCCTTCATCGCCTGTTTGTGTTTCCCGGAGAGAGACAAAATGTTAGCAGGGAGTCACTGCAAACGTCAAGAAGTTCAGAAATGATTGCATTAAGTTGTTTCCAATTGAGCTTCCATAAGGATGGTGGTAGTAGGTAGGTGCCTAGAAAGAAAAGATAGGAAGAAGTGGGACACAAACTCACACTTGCGCCGTCGCGTGCGACATCGCAAACACCCGGTCCTGCATCTGGTAAATTTAGGCGGCGTGGGTGTCGCTTTGGTTGCTGCTGCTGCTGCTGCTGCTGCTGCTGCATCTGCCATGGAGACGGTTGGTTGGTTGTCAGGAGGGTACACCCTTTTGAGGTGCTGAGAATCTGGATAAATCGCTGGGCAGGAGCTGTGTAGATTTCCACCGATTCGGGTGCAGAATAGGAACAGGGAAGGGACCGTTGGATGGGGAGGAGAGGTAATCAATGAATCCAGTAGGCCTAAGCGCGGGGTAGAAAACAAACCCCCCGACTGCCGGCCGCGGGCGGCGCTTCGAGTTTCCATTTCGAGATTTACCCCAGCTTTTCCAAGTTCGCCCCAGTTCGCAAGCCGATCGGTCGGCTGGGACCACGTCATAATTGAGATGCGGTTGCAACGACACACTACACTTACTTAGAGCTCATACGATGTTCACGTCTGCCTTTATCCTGACTGCATTGGAGAATTAACTAGCTTGTATAGTGATTAGACAGCCTAAAAGAAGGAACACCATTGTCGCAGTGCACGGTCTCAAGCTACGCAGGAGAAAAGACTCCAAAGGGACAACCTGATCATGATCTATTTACCTCCCCTTCAAGCCAATTCTTACTTCATGGAAAGCAGAAGTTGATGAATTACCAGTGTCTTCCAACCTATATCATGCAGCGCTTCGCGTGCGACCTGCTGTCAACGCGTGAGCATGGGTATAATCTCAATTCACATTCTTAACTTCGACCCGAGATGACTGTAAACTGATAGGATCAAGTCATGGTCTTCGTGATTCGGACCAGCAGAGCACCACCAGTATCCACTCCCGCGCGGTCATATATATGAACAAAACGGTAGCCATGCTGAAGTCTGCTGAGTCGTATGCACGCCCACCCAGCAAGCGAATCACGGAAAAACTCGTCATCCTTGATTTTGAACCTATCCCATGATCAGCATACAACGTCCGAAAGAACGGTCGTCAGAGAGCACATACCTGACAAAACTAAGATCCTCAACGACGTTGGGTATGGGAGGGAACTCGATCTTTTGGCCCTCGAAATTCGGATTCGACCCCGTTGCACTTTTGGTGGTTCGCTTGTAGCCGGCTTTTTCGGAGTCTGATTCATCATCGCTTGCGGAGTCGCCAGAGTCATCATCTGGAGTATCAAGATGAAGGATACAAGACACATAGGGGTGGAACTTCTTTTCGCTTGTCTGGCCTGGCGGCAGTGGCAGGTTTTGACCGGCGATAAATTCAATGGACAGGTTGAGTTGTCGTCGTTGGACGATGATCGATTCCGCGTCAGAGCTTCGATACCCGGGGGGCTTGAGCGCCCAGCCGTGCTCGCCTGCGAACATCCCGTGATTGAGCATCATCCCCTTGTCGAGATTCTGCCAATTCAATGCTACCATCTGGGCGCCGCGCCGCCAGAAGAAACCGGGGTCCATATTGGAGGACCCTAGACGAAGCCCTTTGGGGTATACGCGCATGAAGAAGTGGCGGTTGTGCTCGAATAGCGCATTAGGGTCCTTGATATGTGCCTCTCGTACTGCATTCTCCGAGAGAGAAAATACGTGACTTGGCACTTTGGCCTCTGTGGTGTTTCAAAGTGAGCAACAATTCATGGAAAGCAAGTGGATCAATCTTAACATACCTGGCTGCTTAAAGTCCTTGAAGTGGAAACCTTTGGTGAAAACGGCCAGCTTGCTCAGAGCATGCACGATCTTCGACGGTTTGTGGGGAGCCGAAGCAGGGGCTTCAGGCGTCTCAGGAGATGTGCTCGCGGGGCCTAGTGGTGTGCCTTGCTGTTTGAGCGTCTGAACATGCTTCAGATATACTTGCTTCTCCTCTTCTTCCGGGTCCTCGTGCTTGTCCACGCTGTCTGGGGCAACGTATTTCACCTTGATGAGAATTTTCCGCTTCAGCTCCTCCAGGGGCGGCGGCGTCTTGGTCGCTTCAATCTCAGGCGTCACTTCGATCAACATCCCCTTCCACGCCTCTTCCATAATCTCCACCATGGTGTGCTGCTGTTCATGACAGGCATGCACCTCAAGACTCACAATCACCGGCAGGTCGCTGGTCACAAACGCGCTATCGCGGATGGCGTAGCATACATCTCGAAAACTGGCCTCCTTGGTGAGGGTGTGGCCGTGGAGGACGCGCGGCTCTGGACGTGCCGGAACCTGAGCTGTTTCTTCGGGCGGCATTTTCGTCGTTGGAGGCTTGCTTCCAGACGACGATGATCGATGATGGCCCAAGAAGCCCTCTAACTTGCCGACTTCTTCGGAAATCGCGTGAAGACGCGGGTGGCTCTCGGTCGCTTTTCTGAGTCTCTCCATCTTCGACTTGCGACGGCGAGGCAACTGGGGCCTAGCGGCGCTTTCATCAGAGCTCGAGTCATCGCTACTACTGCTGCTGCTACTGCTGCTACTGGTGTCTTCGTCCTGCGAGCTCTCGGAGCTGCCCTTCCCGTCCCAGATGTCAATCTCGACACATCTTCCTCCGCGAAGCAATACCTAAGACACATCAGCTGTCTGCTTTTCTTTCGCGTCAAGGCAGAGTCGCTTGGTATCGATGATGGCTCGACATAAGATGGAACATCGTGCGAATACATTTATACAGTATTGACGCGAGTTACCCTCTTACAGTTGGCTTTTGAACGCAACGAAAAGAATGACCGGTCCAAAGGGGCAACGTACATTGGTATAGGCACTCGCATCCGAGTCGCTATAAAGCTGATTGCCTGTCAAGTACGTATTATGACTGGAGGAGATATAATAGTCTGTGATTGGAGCTGAGAGATCAGGCCGATCGACCGGCTTCAAGGCAGAAGCCGCGGGACTCGCCATGTAAGCATAGAATGCTGGCAAGGATGCCAGGGGATTTGCGCCTTCCTTGTCACTTGCATCTCGCGTGCGAGTCTCCTGTTGAATCTCCGTGACAAAGTCTGGCTGGGACAATGAAGTCAACGAGCTGTAGATTTTGTCCAGGTATGTGAGGACCGGAGGTGAGAAGGTGGGTTTGGTCTCCGGTTTGGCCACGGGCTGCGATGAGTCCAGAGTGACATTGCTGGTCTGTTCTGTGATTCCGACCATCCCTGTCTTTCCGTTGTGTTGTCCTTGTTGTCCCAGCCTAGATTGTAGCCTGGTCCACACCGACTGGTTGTGATGCTTGCGGGCCGTGGTTGAAGGTGGGGGAGGGTTCAAGAGCACTCGGATCGGAATGAGCCAAAAATAGCCGGCCGTGTGTAGAACGCGGAGGGAGGCTCAGGACAGCGGAATCAATGAAATGGAATATACAACTGAGGAGAAACCAAGTAGCAGGAATTGCTGGGAGTAAGGCTGGTGGAAGAAAGTTCCGGCTTCTTGTTTTTTTTTGGGTGTTGTCCGTGAGAGTTTTGGTTCTCCACGTGAAGTGGAGACGAATTGTTTCAACCTTCAAAACTAACCTTTGTTGACTGGCCTTATAAGGATAAGGCTACTACTAGCTCTTCCTTTGCATTTTTTTCACCCCAACTTTTCTGAGGATGCGGTATGACTGATGTTGCTAATGACGTCTACTTTGACTTCCAAGCCGAAGCAGCAAAGAGAGCAGACAATCAGGCATCCGGAGTGCTGCAAGGCTGCCTGTCCAAATGCAATACCTTTCGAGTGAGGTGGGTGCGGGGCATTTTTCAGCACTGACGCTTTCTTTCAGCCTTGTCTTGCAGGCAAAAAGACTGCCCAGATCGATATGATCTGTCTGCTGCATGATCCAGCCAGAATATCTCTCCTTCTCTTTTCTGCCGAATTCTACGCATTCCTCAAGCAGTTCAGGGTAGGAGTCCACGATGCCAGCAGTGGTGCAAAGTAAAATAGCGGTGAAGAATCAATCACGGGGTGACTCCCGACGGGTCGGTGGCAGGTCGCATTGAAGTCGCAAAAGACGATACAGTAGATGGATGGACCATGACTTCCACATTCATTCTCCAATAACATACTCACATCCCTCTGGTCCAATCCACACCTCATGTACTTTTCCCGCCGGCACATCTAACCTCGCGCCCACGCCGCACGTCTCCTTCTTGACCTCTCCTCCATGGATCGCAGCATTATCCTCCGGGTACGTGATGGTCAGACTCCCTTGGCGGATCAGATGGGTCGTCAACCCAGAGTGCGAATGAGGCGGGTAGTGCGCATTGCTGGATGACGGTTTTCGTCAGCGGATCGCATATTCAGCATATCGGACTTGTGTCGTCGCTGGTAGGGTAGACATACCTCCCATCTGTCCAGGTGAAGACATGGCTAAATCCCCAATCCCGGACCATGCGCTCGGATTCTTTGCGGCTGCCGACGGGGTAGGTCTCAAGCTCGGGTGCAGTCATTGTGCGCTGAAACCTCTTCTTCTCCCTTGTACTCCGTCCAAGAGGGTCGTGTTTGGAGGTAGGTTTGATCTCTCCTTCGAGTTGCAATGAGAGCGGGGAAGACGATCGATGGCAATGACGTCTTTGCGGTCTCGCATCACGTGTTTTTTTTTTGTCTTGACAACAAATCAGATCGAGACAAGAATGATCCTTTTAGTCCACTGATGTACATTTATGCTACTATTTATGATGCTTTCAATGTCGACGGTTTCCAATTGAATAATTCTCAACGCTCTTGGTGTGTGTAGTCTATCAAGGAAAGTAGAGTTCCGCCAATCATCGCCCCAATGCTGTGACTTTTATACAACCAGGAGAAAGAGTGTGCAAACAAGCATGTGTGGTTGAATCGCAACGTCTTCTTGGAGATAGCAAAAGAGCTGTATGGGAAGTGGGGAGTGATATCGAAGCTATGCGAGGGAAACACAAGAACAAAACATTGACACATGATTATATGTACAACAAATAGGGATATTTATTTTGACGAAAAGAGCAACAAGTATTGACAAGATCGGATACAATGAATCGAGCCAGGAACAACCAGGGTATAAGATCGAGCTGCAGCGGCATCAAAAGAGAGACAACCTGTCATTCAGACATTGTTGCCACTGTCAAGACCCCGGAAGTAGCTGGACTGGAGAAACTCGTCACGCATGACCAAACTCACGTCCGAGTTACGGTACTGCCGTAGGTCCTCGCGTTGAAGTCCACGCAGTTGCTCTCGACCAGCCGTAGAGAGTGAGTGAGTGCGGGAGTGATGCCCGTTGCGATTGAGTACGGGGGAGAGCCGGCCGGTTGGGGAAAGGTGACCGTTGGACGACTTGTTACCCGTGAGCCCGGACCAGGAGAGGGTTTGACGAGGCGCAAAGACAGGCAAAGAGGCATTGCTCGGGAGAGGGAGGAAGGAGCTAGCGTCGGTAGAAGCATTGCTCAGGCTTGACCGGATGGACGACGGGCGTTGATTCGCATTCAGCATAGGGAAGTTGGACACGGAGCTGTAGAAGCTTGACATGCCGGACGCAGCGGACGAGCGCCAGGAGTTCACTGCGCTGCGTGGGATGGTAATAACTTCTTCGTCAATTGGCATAGTTTGCTGCAGAGCGGTGGCAACATCAGCGGGCTCGCTAAGACTAGCGTGGGGGCGGCTAGCCATGATCTTAGCGGACTTTCCGATCCAGAGCATCTGCTCATGCTCACGCAGGTACCGATCACCACTGAAGGACTTCTGCACAATCTTGCGAGTCATCATACCCAGCTTGCGGCGGTGTTCGCTCTTATCGTACATGCGACGCGTGATCTTAGCAACATCCTCCGGGGTAGGTGCAGAAGTCAAGACAGGAGGTGCCTCGGTATCGTCGGCAAATTTACTCCATTCCCCAAGAAGTCCAAGCATGGTGATCTGCGCGCGGGCGAGAGCCAAGGCATCGTTCGGTGCAACCACGGCGCTGAAGCGGGAGAAGTCATCGGGGTCACTCAACACACGCAGGGAAGCTCCGACATCAGTACAGACAACGGGTGCACCGGTAAGAGCAGCCTCGCCCAGCGCCAGCGGTAAACCTTCAGACAAAGACGAGTTCAGGAAGAGCCAAGTATTCTCCAGCACCTTCATCGGGTCAGCAGTACCACGCAAAGTGACTCGACCACGAAGTCCCTTCGAAGCAATGATCTCTTGGCATTCTGTGGAATATGTTGGGGCCTTGTCGATAGCACCGTAAATGTCCAAATGGTAGTCATCAAACTTCCATTGATTGATGATGATATCCGCGGCAAGGAGCGCTGTCTTGATATCCTTGGCGTACCAAACGTGGGACAGCATAGTGACTGTAGGGCGCTGCGATTTGATCTCCTTAACTGGAGCAAACTTCTGCATGTCGGTGATACCGTTGACCACGGGATCAACCTTGCGACGGAAGACATTGCGATGCTCAATGGTTCCTTGACAGGTACCAATTTCGACTTCCCAGCCTGGGTTGAAGAAGTCGGCACATGGCAGGATGATATCAGCGTGGTGCAGCGTGAGAACCGATGTGACTCGCATCAAGCCCAGAAGAGCATTGCGAACAAAAGGCGAAAGCTTGCAGAGGGCAGAAGAAAGACAGAGATTCGTCTCACGCCAGCTGATGGCATGGTCCCAGATTTGCAATGTACAGTTTCTCTTGATCTTGCAGACAACTCCATATGACGCACTGACGCTGTGATGTGATGCCTGGAAAACATTGGGAATCTTTTCAGGGATCGGAATGGAGAAGATGAAGAGGTAGCGATACCAGAGCTCAAGGGCGATGTCGAGAGATGCCAAGGTGGGAAGCTCAGTGTCGTACCATTCTGACGAAGGGGTTGCATTGGGCATCTCCTGAGTCAGCCAGAGATCGCGCCAGCTCTCCTTCACAATTTCACTGTCCCAGATCTGAGTCCAATGACGCGAGTCTTGGAAATAGGTATTAAGGTTCACCAAGGCTCTAGTTGCCTGCTGGATATCAGCCTTGGAAAGGTGGATAGCACGGGCTCCCTTCACCAAGGCCGTCAAGATAGGGATGAAGTTCATTTTGATGTCCATCTCGCTGGCGGAAGTGACGTTTTCGACCTCGGAGTCAAGTTTGTTCTTGAAGAGACCATGCGTGGGCGTGAGGAAGTCGAGACCCCAAAGAGGAACCACTTTCAGTGACAAGATGTTCTGCTCTGTCTGATGCTTGGGAACACCAAAGTCGTTTGCAGATTCGCAGATCATATGCCACTTGATCGTCCGCAGGGAATTGATCATATCACGGCGGCAAGCGGAAACACCACCTCCTTCGTTTGGCCAGGTACCATTGTCCGCAGCCATGACGTGCAGTGATTTCTCGGTATCAGAGCCAAAGTCCTTAGATCTTGTGTTGACAACAGCATCACCGCCTGGTCCGAAGTTGAACAGATCACTAATCTTGACAGCCAAGGGAGTCCAACTGGAGATGTTGTCGTCCAGGTCTGCACTGGCCGTAATTGTATCGGCGCGTAAGTCCAGATATTTCTTGGCTGAGGCAAGATCGCCGCGATCTCTGCTGCGCCAGTAAGGAGCAAGCGTCTTGTCTCTTCTCAGTAGGCGTTCGTCCATCCACCGAACAATAATGCCGTCGAAGTCCACGCGGTCCTTCCAAGCCTTCCAGATCAACGAACGTGCACGAGAAGTGGACACGGGAAAGCGCTTCGTTGTCAAACCGAAGAACCGGGTAAGAATACTTGAACTCAGACTGTCACAATACAAAAGAGGATTGTCATGCACAAAGCTGGTGTATCGGGGTTTGGCCAGTACAGCGAGGTAGTCATGCTCGATCATGGGTGGGGTCTGAATTTTCTGTCCGTTGAGTGTGGTGAAGATCGTGGGGTGAAACTTGTGATCGTAAAGCCAGCGAGACTCGTAGACGTCCGCACCTTGAACAAACGAGGCCTCCGTCACCTTGGAATGAGGTATCCAGCGATCAATCTTCTGGGGATGGCGCAGAGGAGGCGCACACCAAGAGACAGTACAGGTGATATGCGAGAGAGCGAACTCGGCCCGAAGCAACTCATCTCCAAACCGAGGATTCTTGCGATAATGATACTTGAATCGAATCAGATTGCCGTCCTTCATGTAGGATCCTGCTTCTATGAGGCCCTTCTTGTTGTATTGCACGCTCTGAAGATGATTTTCTCCGCGCACACAGCGGCGTCCCATTGGAACCTTGGCAGAAGACAGCTTGGACAAGGAGAATCCCTTCTTGGACGGGGCACGGTAGTCATAATGATACTCATTGATCACCTTCCCACCTTTGAATTCTTGTCTGACCATGAGTAGCATATCCTTGGAATAGACGCAGACGTAGCTGAGACTCTTCGTGCCTTCCGGCTCGGCCTTGTGCTGTCCCGCGTAGTAGTAGATCTTGAACCCTCCATCAGCTTCATCGTGCTTGAAAGCAGAGAATGTTCCATCCAAGCTCTGAATAACAAAGCGGCTCTTCTTGATGCTGATAGTCATTCCTTTCGTCTCATCCCAGAGCTGTTTCACATTGCTGCGGCCGTGAAACAGAAAGAATGAGAGGCCTAGATTCTGCACGATCCTCGAATACGACCAAATCGAGCTCAAGGCCAGGGTGGCTGGTACACGAATGATAGCATGACGCTGACTCATGACATGGTCGAATTCTCGCTGGAATTCAGGATCAGCGATGAGAGCAACAACGATAAACTTGATCGTTGATGCCAATGAATAATAGAGTGAGTGCCAGGGTTTTGCAAAAAGATGAATGATTGCAGGGAGCCTCTTGGAGACATAAGGGATGTAGTCTGGAGTCTCTGGATCTTGGAACACAACAGCTTCGCCTGTGCCATAGTGTGCATAATCGAGAATGCTGACAGCGGTAGCAGCACCAAGGTTGCAGCGCGCCACATGCACATCAAGATCCTCCGTATCGAACTGGCAAAGACGACCTTCAAGCCATTTCCGATCCTCGCTTGACAGCTGACAAGGCTGGCCAAGGCAACGGTTCAAGAGAGAGTTTCTGATGTCCTTGGGAAGCTTTTCCCAATGAGCATCACACTCAAAGCCAAGGCACAGGTGTTTGAGTAGTTCCTTCTTAGCCCAGCGAATAACGACCGCGGTGTTAGATTCCGCTCGCAGCTGGCGAGCCATAGTTTCAGTCACACCGGCGGTGACGAGAGACTCGGACAGAATAGCATACTCGTGAGGGATGTGCAGCATTGATTCGGCGACGGCGTGAAGCAATGTTTCAGCAATGACTTGGCAATTGGCACTGACATCAATGCGCTGATCGAGTCCACGTCCAACACCAATGGCAATGCTGAGGTGTGTCGTTGTGCTGCAGCTGAGCGCGTGAATGCCAGGGCCCAGTGACCCAGACGGCACAAGCTCCACGGTAATTTCTCCTTTTCCCCACGCCCCAAGGGCAAGACTGATCAATTCCTCTGCTCTTGGGAAAGCATCCTCGATT